TCCTTGGCCCCCAAGGCTGTGAGAATTCCGGAAACACCTGGGCTGAAAGGGTGTCTTGGTTGGGCAGCGGGAAGGAAAAAGGGAAGGGCAGGGGAAGTGCTGGGGCCTGCTCTGACATACCCAGAGAAGTCTGAGGACAGAGCAGGAGGGCTGTAATTAGAGCAAACCTTCTGTCCTTGAGAATGGCATTCTGGGAATAAACAGACAGTTGCCCCTTTTTTGGGACAGCCCACCTTGGGATTTACACATACTGGCCACACACAGGTAGGGCCCAAACAGCCAGGTAGGGAAGAGGTTGACTATCTGAGCTGGGGTGGGGGTGGGGAGGGTATCATGTTCCAGGTCACCTCTGTATTGTCTCTCTCCCTCACACACACACACACGCACATTTCATATGCGGTGGGACCCTGGGAAATGATCTGTACACAACCCTGAGTCCTTTGCCCTGTGCACATGTACAGCCCACCCCCAGGGCAGGACACATTCCTGTACTTGTGTGTTCAGTTCTGTGTATGTGGGACCATGTTTCTCAGCCACAGAGTATGGGGACCTCCTAACATTGTCCTTTGCTCATGTACCTCCCATCTGCCATCAAATACACAAAGCCACCTGTGCATATGTTGCCTACATAAGGGAGGAGCTAGCCCTTTCCTCACCATCAGAGGGGCCTGTGCCCCTCCTTCAATCTCACCCTGGTGGGGAAGCAGCTATTGCAGACATGTCAGCAAATGAGTCCAGGGAGTGAATCCTGGGACTCAGCCCGCCTTGAGTGGCTACTGCCACGCTGACCATTCCACTGTATCTGCAATAAACAGTTCCTCAAACCCAAAATCTCTGAGGTAGAGCCCAGAGCATCCAACGGGCCAATGGGGACAAACATTGGCCTCTCCCAGTTCTGAGGCACATGTGTGGAAGGCAGGAACGCTCTCATTTTCTGTCTGGGATAGTGCTCAACACTGTAACATTTTCACATTAGCCCTTCCAGGAGGCATTAATGTGCAAATCGGAGTGGGCCTGCACGGCACCTTGTCCATGTTAGCATGCACGTGTGCTTGTGTGTGCCTGGGTGTGGTCACCTATACCAGGCCTCCTGAGCCTTGGCATGTGCAAGCCAGCTGTCATGGGTGCAGGCCTATCCTCTGGCAAAGACACAGAGGAAGCATCTGGGCATGTGTGCTCAGAGGCTCTGAGACCTCACAGGGAAGGAAGCACCAGTTGCACAAAGTTGATGTAGCAGTGTGTGGCCATACCAGATATTGGGCAGCAGCTCCTCCGGGCCTTGCTCTGATATCTTACAGCTTTCTTCGTGTCGGACACAGCTCTCTCCACATAGTCCACGGAATGTTCCACGTTGTATTCGATTCAGTCAATCATCTTGCCCTGGCTTTCCACGAGCATGGCCACGTCCACAAACATGTCATGCAGCTCGCGGATGCTGATTTCCAGTTTGATGATCTCGTTGTACCTCATTCAGCGCCTGCTTCGTCATCTGTGAGTCCATTTTGATATTATCAGTGAAGATGGCCAACTTCCCGCTCTCCAGCATGTCTTCCAGTTCTTCGTTGGTTGTGGTCCTTCCAGTGATCTCCAGCTGCTGTTGGATCCGGTCCTTGCAGCGGTCCCGGTACTTGGACTGGGTCGTGTTATATTCAGTCATTACTTCCACGAACTTCCAGGACAGTGTGGAGTGCTGGGTCTTACAGATTCGCAGGTGTGCGGAGGAACAATTCAGCCCCTCCTCCTTTTCAATGCTTTGCTCAATCGCTTTCATTTTGGACCGAACCTTCTTGGCCGTCTTCTTGATGTCTGCAGTGAGGTCCTCCAGCTCCTGTTTGATCTTCTCGTCTGGGTTGGCGGCGGCCAGGATGGCGCCATGCTGTTTTTTCACTTCCTCCACATTCTCGGACAGCTTCTCAATGCAGCTTCGGATCTCTTCCACCTGTTCAAAGAACTCATCCATGAAGTGATCCCGATCCACATGGACGGCCTCCTCCTCCTCATCGCTGTCTTTCGCACTCCGCAGTTCCTGAGTCCGATCCTTCATCCTGCGACGGCTCCTCCTCCGCCTCGTCCTACTGTTCCTGGTGCTGCTCCTACCTCCTGCTTCGGTGCTGGAGGCCGGGGTCTGGGGCCGCTGGGGGACAGAGCCGCTGAGAGAGGCGCCGCGGTCGGGGCGGGGCCAGGGGCGGCGGGCAGAGAGCCAAGCAGGGGCAGGGGCCTGGACCAAGCTCGGCTTTGCTGGGGCTGCGGCTGCGAAGCTTGGACGGAGGGATGCGGGAGCCGAGGCGCGAGGGAGGGGAAAGAAGTACATAAGTCTTTTCTCACTTAACTCATGGCAACAATAAAAGCCTCAGCCTACTGCTCTCATTTATTCAATTAATTATTTACTAAAGATTTATGGAGAGACTGCCTTGTGCCAGGCACTGTTTTAGGGACTGAAGATTCAGAATTGAACAAGATTAACACAATTGTTGCCTTTGTGGAGCTTTCAACACAGTACTAAACAAACAAACAAACAAACAAAAAACCAGACATAAGCAGATGATTTCCATCTGAGATCACTGCTGTGAAAAAAATGATGAGGCAGAAGGGGCTTCTTCACACAAGGTGACATTTGAGTTGGATCCTGAACAATGAGGGAGGCTGCCATTCAGAGATCTTTATTTAGAGCTTCAGTTTCATAGAAGTTCCACAGACTCCTGCTACCCACAATTACCCACCAACGTCTTTGCCCAGATATCCTGCCTTGTAGCCTGACTGCACATTGATTGTTTCCATGCTTGCATTAAGGCCGAACCCTCCCCTGATGAGTTAGGTGACAATCCCTTTTATCTACTGAAGGACAGTCCTCTAGCATGATTCTCTTCTTTTTCCTGAATCATCAAGTTTTCCTTCTCTACTGGATTATTCCCATCTGCACACAACCATGCTATTTCTCTCACCTTAAAAACCAATGAACATAGCATACTCAATAATGAAACACTGAAAACATCCCCCTCTAAGATCAGAGGGGAGAGATGGCTCCTAAGCTTACTAAGAACAAGAGCTAAAGTCCTTACTATGCTCCATATTTACAGTGCTTCTCAAACATGAGACCAAGGTTCTTTTTTTAAAAGATTTTATTTATTTTTATTTACTTACTTTTTTTTAGAGAAAGGGAAGGGAGGAAGAAAGAGAGGGAGAGAAACATCAATGTGAGAAAGAAACATCAGTCTGTTGCCTCTTGCACTGTGCCCCGACTGGGGACTGATTCTGCAACCCAGGCATGTGCCCTGACTGGGAATCGAACCAGTGACCCTTTGCTTTGTGGGACAATGCCCAACCAACTGAGCCGCACTGCTCAGGGCACCAAGTTTCATTTTTAAAGTTCCAATTAATTGCAGATGATACTTTTGTAAAATATGATAGAAATGTAGCTGCAATGTAAAATTTTATAAAATTTTAAAATACTTATTCTTGACTCTTTTACTTATCTCCTCATAGTGAAGTAATAAACAATTTGCAGCCTGGCCCTTGCCTTGGGCCATATTTTGAGTAGCATTGCTTTACAAGGCTCTGCATGATCCGGCCCTGCTACTACTCTCTAATCTCATCTCTTGCCATTCTCCCCACCACCCCTGCTTACTCTCCTTCAGCCACAGTGGCCTCCTTATTGTTTCTTTTAACATCTCAAAGACCTCAAGGTCTTTTTTTGTACTTGCCAGTTGTCTCTGCCCCAAATGCTATTCTCCCTACCCCATATCCTCAAGCTCTCTCTCCCAATTCACTTGGATATCTGTTCAAAAATCACCTACCAGAGAGACCTTTCCTAACAATCCTAATAACACATCAATCCTCAACACTCTGTCTCCTTTCTCTTCACAGCACTTAACAGTGTGGTATGTTTATTGTCTTCCTCTCACCCCCACCAGCCAACTAGAATCTAAACTTCATACAAACAAGAACTGCTTTCCTTTTGTTACAGCCACAGGGTTTGACATAGTGCATGACACATAATAAGCTGTTGAATGGATGAGTGTTTTCAGCTTATATCATCATGCTCTTTAGCCCTACCTAACCAGTTATAATTCCCAGGTTTGGCCAAGTACTTTCAGGTGTCTGAGCCTTTTAATATGCTGCCCATTTTCGCTTGGGATGTCCTTCCTGAGGCAGTGATTTGCACCTCTCAAGGCCCACATTAAATGCCCTCTCATCTGCACAGCCTTCCAGGGGATCACCCTTCCCTACCAAAGTTGATCCTTCCCAGTCATTGAATCATATCTATCCTTTTTGTGTATGTTTCCCTTGCTGTCTTGAGAATTCCCGAAGGGCATGACTTTTCTGCTGTATCTTTGTATACCAGGCTCCTAGCACAGAGCCTGAGGTGGAGCAGGGCCTCTATAACTGTTTGGTGAAGAGTTCTCAGAGCTATTCAATGTAAGAAGCTTCTTAAAGTGGTTAATTCTCTGATGCCAGAAATGTCCCAACAGGCTGGATGAAGTCTTCTTTAGGATACTCCAGTGGGTTTTCCTGATTGGTGTTGGCAGTTTATTTAGCTGTTCCCATGATTCTTTGAGCCTGTGGTCTGGTGACCTGTGTAACGCTCCTATCAATACTAATTTTCATTCTCCATTCCTATCTGTGTGGTTCTGGACACTGGAAGGAGGCAGTCTGGAGGGCTGAGCTTGCATGCCTTCTCCCATCCTGTGAGGCAGGTATCTAGCTCTAATAAATGTGGCTGTCTCCTGGATTTAATGAAGAAGAAAGTCTTAGAAGGAACACCGTTGGCTGATGTCCTGGGTTTCAAAGATACTGTGGATGGGGGGCGGGGGGCAATCCTGTTAATTGCCCTGTGATGGGTCTAAGAAGCTGTGAAGGTCTAAGATGTTATCCTATTTTCAAATCAAAGAGCCAGCCTGAAACAGCTAGACAGTACATACCAACCTAATCACGAGGTCTCTGGTTCCGAGACAATTTAAGGATTGCATCTTGCATCACTTCCCCATGCCCAAATTCCCCATCAGTTGACACAATGGAAACCAGTGTGCCAGTGTGTGCAGAAGAGAGGTCTCTTAAAATTATGCAACTCAGTGATTATGATGGACAGCTGGCATAGCTGTCCTTCCTCTGAGAGAGAGAGAGAGAGAGAGAGAGAGAGGAAGCAAACGGCTGTGGGTTTTATTGTTTTTGAGAGACCAAATGGCTCGCAGAAAATGCACCTGAAAGGAAACATTCTGTCTCTTCCTAGTTATGTTTACGAATACCCTTTAACACAGGTACCAGGAATCTGCTCAAAAAGCACAGATTGCACAGAAACCCCTTGTGTCTTCCGCACAGTCCTAGAGAGACAACGTTTCCCTGAGTCTCCTGCCCCTGAAGTTCTTTACTTAAGCAGATATGGTTTCTGAGGAGTTGAAGTGAGGAAAATCTCAGTATAATGGATTCCCCATCCAGCATTGTTCCCAGCACAGAGCGGATACCCAGCAAGCATCAGTTAAGTGAATGACAAGGACTGTTGTTTAAGATTTTAATAACGATGGGCAGAAAAGTGGTTGGTGGAGACGTCCTGAGGACGTCCATTCTTCTCCCCTGGGCCCTCTTAGGCCAAGACCCCAGTTCCTCGGAGCAGCGCAACAGTTCCAGATATCCCCAAGGCCAGGGTCGTACACGCAGAGGTTGGGACCACACCGGAGATCAGGTTTCCTTGGTGCTTGGCGGCATCAGGGTCCAGAAAGGGATTCCCGTTCACTGTCAGGGTACTCACCTTGGGCAGCTCATCTGGCTGCGGCGCCCTCTTCAGCCTATTGTGGCTGAGATCAAGCTCTCTGAGCTCGGCCGGCAGTCCTTTAGGCACCTGCTCCAGGCCAGCGAACGCCAGGTTGAGAGAGCTCAGTGTGCTGGGCCAGGTGCACTGGGCAGCGCCCGGTGTCGTGGCGCGCAGCGGGTTGTGGCTGAGGTCTAAGCTCTGGGGTTTCACACCTGCCGCCGCCAGCGCCGAGCATACGCCGCTTGGCGTTTCCATCCCCGCATTGCGTAGCACTAGCTCCTGCAGAGCCGGGAATTTGTTCGGGCAGAGAGCGGCTGTCAGTCCGCGCTCGCCCAGTCCAGGATTGTCAGACAGGTCCAGGGTGGTGAGGGAGGTGAAGGTGCGGAGGTCTGCGCAGGGAAAGGCGAGCGAGTGTGCTTGCGCAATGTTCAGTACTTTGAGACCCGGCTTGAGCCACTGCTGCAGTTCGGCCAGCCAGGCACCGCCTGTTGCCCACGACACGTTACGGACAGTGAGGGTGGAAAGCGCAGGTCCAATGTCTTCCAGAGGTGGCAGCGGCATCGTGCCGGTTACTTCCAAGTCCTCGAGCGTTAGGTGCTTGAGGCGGGAGGGTCCCAGCCCACGCAGGACCGCGGCCAGAAGCAGAGCCGGCACCTGTGCATTGCCCACCGTGAGTCGCCGCAAGCGCAGAGCCTTGACCATGTCGGCAAACTGCTTCGGGTCGGTGTCGGCGAACCTTACAAATTGTTGCAGGCTGCGGCCGCCGCCACGGACCTCCACCTCCAAGGCACTTAGACACTGTAAGGCGCTGGACCATTCGGGCTCCGGACCCGTGAAGTTGCAGGCGCAGCGTTTATCCTCATCGTCTATTTCGCAGGGCTCCGGTGTGGCCGCAGAGAGGTGAAGCAGAGGCAGCAATAGCAGCAGCAGCAGCTGGGAGGGCGCCCGCACCTGAAAAGAGAGCGGAGGTCAGGGAGGCCCGAGACAGTCCCTGGAATTCCCCGAGTAGCCTCCGTTCGGCCCCAAGACCGTACACTCACCATGGTCGATAGGTGGGCGCTCAGAGCCTTTGCGTCCCCGGCGGGCTCTGGGAAAGGTTTCGGCTGCTTTCCTCTACGGCTGCACTAGCCAGCTTCCAGACTCCACACACCCTTTGGCGGTCTCTGAGAGTTTATATAACCTCAAGAATGTCACTTTGTTTCCTCCTCTGTGAACTCGGGTCACTCCCCACCTTTTTTTCGCCACTCCATTTATTACCCTTCTGGGAAATTTTGCAATGAAGGATGTTGCTGGGAGGAGGGACGTAACAGGAAGGATCCCTCAGGACCTCTAGTGTGCCCGGCCCCCGGCAGTACCCTGATGACTCACGCCCCCAGGTTTCTCCCGTGGGTACGGAGGAAGGAAGATCTCCAGTGCCTCCTACCAGGACTCTTGCCTCCCCTGCCTGTATCCCAGCGACTCAGCCTGGGTAGCCTCCTGGACTTTTCCCTAATCCTAGTGGTTACTATTAACCTCCCATCATCCAAGTCCAATCCCCTGAATATCCTCCCATGTTTACCTGGATATTTTGTGGAAGAGATTTCAGATTTCATCTACTGACTCCAAGGGCTGGAATTAAGTTCAAGAGGAGGAAGTTTATGTGGAGAACAACTTCTCTTCCCTTTTTAAATTTTTTGCTGACTTGTCCTTTAACTTTGTTGATTAAGAAAATAATATTTTTCTTAAGTCGATGTGTTTGACAGAAACACATTGGCCAAGCCACTCGCTCTTAGTTCTCATTTCCTTATCCTGAAAAACTAGGTATTTTTAACACAATTTTCCCACTTGTACCTAGTGCTCCCCTGCCCTCCCCCAACACAGTTCCTGTGTCCTAGGAAGCGCTGGACCTACGTTGAAGGAGGATCAGCTAGTAACTCACTTGTTGTAACAAAAAATGCAAGTGTCCCAAAGGGTGTGGTAGGGTTTATGCTTTGACAAGAGAAAAACTCCGAGATGTTCTAATTAAAATTACAGTGGCCAGAGAATAAGCGAAAGAGACAGAACTCATTGACCAGTTAATAGCTGTGGACCAGCTAACAAAGACTGCTCACATTCCTGAATATATGTTGGAGCTTCGAATGAGTCTCCAGGCATCTATCCTACCACTAGGTCATTGCATCTTGCATAGGCCTGAACATTTAGGACTGTTGACTGTAACTAATCAAAAGTAGTAAATATTTCTTCTTTTCAGACTGTGCATCTATCATGGAACTGTCTCCACTTTTTCTCTCCTCTGTATCTATAACCAATGTAAATTCTTCTAAAAAATTCATTCATTCATTCATTTATTTATTTATTTTTAGAGAGAGGGGAAGGGAAGGAGAAAGAGGGAAACATCAGTGTGTAGTTGCCTCTTGCGTGCCCCCTACAGGGGACCTTGCCTGCAACCCAAGCATGTGCCTTGACTGGGAATCAAACTGTGACTCTTTCATTCTTAGGCTGGCATGCCATCCACCGAGCCACACCAGCTAGGGCTTTTAAACAACTTACATCTTTCTTCCCCCAAAACATAACGTATAAAAGAGCCCATCAACTCCAGCAGAGTGGGCATGTTGCTTTCTCCACCTAGCCATGTTGCTCTTGGTTTAGACTTCCGGCCCCAGGACCTGGTCCTTTTTTGGCTAGCATATGGCTCCAAAAACCCTTTATTTCAAAAAAAATGTTTCAACCCTGGTTGGGTAGCTCAGTTGGTTAGAGAGTCATCCCCATGTGCCAAGGTTGTGGGTTTGATCTTTGATTAGGGCACATACGAGAATCAACCAATGAATTCATAGTGGAACAACAGATCTATGTCTCTCTCTCCTCCCTCTTTCTTTCCCTCTCTCAAAATCAATAACTTTAAAAAAGTAAAATAAAATAAAAAAGTTTTAAGCCATGGAAGTTTTGTTGTTAACACTTTCACAAAAGCTCTCACAGGTCTGCACTTACGGAGTTTTGGGGAAAGAGCTACATGAAAAACATTTGAATACCCTTATTTTCCAAAAGTAGCTTCACATCTGTCCCCAATCCAAACAAGGAGGCCTCCCTCTCCTCTCTGTGTCCTGTTGGAAATGCCCTGATGTCCTGAGCCATGCCCCAAGGCCTGACCTCATTGGTCACTAGGAAATCCCCAAGGACCAAGATGTTAATATAACTCAGTGTTAAATACACTGACCCTGCATCAGAAAGCCAAGCATGGAATCCCTCCCTAGATCTAACGCTGAGATTGTCAGACTTGGGAAAGTTTCTGGGCCTCAGATATCTGAGTTTCTGCTTTTAAAATGGATATAATGCTCTGGCTGGTATGGCTCAGTGGATTGAGTGCCAGACTGAGAAGCAAAAGGTCGCTGGTTCTATTCCCAGTCATGGTACATGCCTGGCTTGCAGGCCAGGTCCCCAGTAGGGGGAGTGCGAGATGCAACCAATTGATGTATCTCTTGCACATCAATATTTCTCTCTCCCTCCATTTCCCTCTCTCTAAAAATAAATATAAAAAAATAATACCTGTCTCTAAGTAAAGTCTTTGGCACAGAGCCACATCTATTGACAGTAGCCCTGATTGTTATCTTCTTTGTCAGAGCCTCTGCATTCAGAAGACTAGGGCCATCAAAGCCTGGCTCCTAAGTAAATCCCATCATCTTAGTGGAGGCATTCTGGTTGAGGGGTCCAAGATGAGAGGGGAAGTAAGTTTCTGCAAAGATTTCCAACTCATACATTAATTTAAGAATATCTGCCATTTGTCTACCAAGTACTAGGATGGTGCAATGCTCTGGGATGCCCACATGGCCGTTACTTAGTCTCCCAAGTATTCTAGTAGGTGGGGGAGGTGAAAACAGACCCAGAACCACAGTCCATAATGAAGAAAACTCTTACAGGGGACTTGTGGTAGGAGAAGGGAACAGCTAGGCCTGTAGTAGAGAAGACATGGGCCTGTTTCTTATAGGGTTAACAGTGTTGCCAGGTAAGTAAGTGTCAAAAGGCCATTTGGGCAGCTGTAACTGAGCAGACATTCTGGGCAGAACATAGTTTTTGCCTGGGAACATATCATACCTTCCCCACCAAGAGAAAGATGTAGGTATAGAAGTCATTCTGTCCATGAGGAAAGGGACAAGACTCAGGCCCTATGCCCAGCCAGGGCATGATACAGAGTAGGTGCTCAATAAATCGCTGTCTGGGGGCTGGATGGTGCTGGGCCTGGAGACAAGGTGCGGTAGACAGAAGGATGATGGTCTACAGCTACTTACCTAGATGTTTTGCGGATGAGATCAAAGACTTTATCAGTTGACTCAAGAGGTGGAATTAAATTCAAAGAAGGAAGTTGGTGAGAAGGACAATGTCTTTTTCTGGATTTTTTTTTCTTATTTGTGTATTTGCTTAAGTAATAAATATCTAAAAATTAGAGGCCTCCAAAGACATTTCTTAAGTACTATTAGGACACTGCTCTCTTAGAGCTGTAAAGGTGGTTTTGGTGGAGACAACATCAGTTACACTATAACTTAATGACAGTTCTTAAAAGGGTCGTGAAAAAGTATATGCTGCTATAAACTCTCATAACAGGGGCAAATGGTCCAGTACAACTGAGCGGGGGACATAAGAGTTGAGATCTTGAGGATGGTGTTAATTAAGAGAAGGGGACTGTTTGGGGGGGATTAGGGTGGGGGACAGGGACAGGGCTCTAGGTAGAGGAACAGCCTGTGCTAAATCCTGGAGGAGGAAAAGAACAGGGCTTGTTTAGGTAACAAAGGGAAGGTCCAGGAGAGGTGAAAAAGTGAGGTGCCTTTCAGCTGACATTGGAGATGTGTGCAGGGATTAGACCATGTAGGGCATAGTTGGCTACGATTTGGATTTTGAGGGTAAGGGACACCTTTTTAAAAACTCATCAGTGTTTCCCCAGTACCCAGTAAATTATTGGCATTCAAAATGCGGTGAGTTACTTTATTCTAAAAGTAATACAACTCACTTTTATGCAGAACAGTGAAATAATTATATTTGTCTCATTTTCCTCAACCGTGAACTGGGGGTAATTTTAATTGTGAACATTCAGTATGGCAACGCATGGCCACTCATCGGTGGGAAGGGTGTTGGTTGGGGTGAAGTGTGAGTGTGGGGTGCAGATACCATTTCACCAATAAATGGTATCCCATATGTTCATAGAACTTGGGCTAGTTTTGAATGTCTCTCTAGGGTGATTCAGGAGCGGGGAGGTGGTTTGCTGAGTGGAAGGTGACCGGGGCCGGCCGGGGTGGGGATTGAGTTTCTTTCCTCCTTTTCTGAGTACAGTTCTACGCACTTTCCTAGTGGTGGGAAGACAAAACGAGGGGCTGGAACCCTTGCTTGGCTCTCAGCCCAGATTCCACCCCTCAGCCTTCCCGCGTCTCCGTTCCACCCTCCCTGCGTCTCTCCCAGCCCCGCCCTTTGCCCCGCTCCTCCCTTCCCCTCGCCTCAGCCCCTGGCCGCGCCCCCTCGCACCGCACCGCCTTCACTGGGCGTGGAGCCCCGCCTGCTTTACCGCCCCTTCCGCCCCGCGCTGCTGCGGCTGCGCGGTCACTGCCGTCTTCCATACGTGGGGTTTGTGATCCCCAACTTGCGTGCAGCGAGGGTTTCCTCCAGTTCCATCATGTGGAACCGACGGCAGGGCCGTCTCGGGCCGGTGGGATGCGGCGTGGAGGAGCTACGGCGCCGCCGGCGGGAGCGGGAGGCAGGTGCGGGCGGGCGGGGGAACACGGGAGGATGGGGTATGGCGGTGGGAGACGGAGTTCTGGGTTTTGGATGCCCCTCCTTTGCCCTCAGCTGGCTGCTTTGTCCCTAGCATTGCGGAAGGCGAGGAGAGAGCAGCAGCTGGTCAGCAAGAGGCTGCTGAGAGACGACTCCCCAGAGGAAGCCGAAAGGGGATGTGTGGACTTGACCCTCGGGGAAGCCGAGGTGAGGGGGCAGGGTGCGCGGTGAGGTCCGTACTGGCGGGCGCCAGTTTCCGTCCTCTAGTACTCGAGATCCATCCCCAAACCTGAACGCGGTCCCTTCAAAACCTACAACGGGCCAAGCCAGAAACTGGGGTATCCTTCACGCCATCCCGACCCTCATCCCCATATCAGTACTTAAGTCGTAGCTGGGGTTGTTTTTTTTTTTTTTTTAATTTTTTTTTAAAACCTTTTAAAGAACTGTGGAGATGCCCTGGCCGGCGTGGCTCAGTTGGTTGGAGTGTAGTCCCCATAACCGAATACTCGTGGGTTCGATACCCGATCGAGGCTGTGCGGGAGCACGTTAAGAGTCAACCAGTCGATGTTTCTGTCTCTCACAGATGTTTCTCTCTCCCTTCCTCACTCTTTAAAAGCAATGAAAAAAATTTCCTTGGTGAGGATTAAAAACAAACAAAACTGGAGTCTTTCTGTGCCTCGCCATCACAGCTCTACCACCCTCCAGTGGATACTTACAGCAGCCTCTTAGCGGGTCATTTGCATCTGTACTTGCCACCCTCAAGTTCATTCTCCATACATCAGTTAGATGTGTCTTTTAAATATACACAGAGACCTGTGTCGGGGTGGGGGTGGGGGCGCATACATAGAGACCAAACTCCTTTAAGTCCACAGGGACCCAGACCCTATCTTTG